TCAGGAGAGCTCTCCTCTCCAGGGGGAGGCTGGGATTGTAAATCACCATCTTGGATGTTCCCTAAGATCATCCCCCCAGTCACATAGGGCGGGGAAGGCAGGACAAAGGATCTCATTTCTCTGTCTGTCCTTGTTCTCTTTTAGGCTTCTCTGCCTTTACAGCAGCGGTTCTCAACCTGTGGGTCGCGACCCCTTTGGGGGTCGAACGACCCTTTCACAGGGGTCGCCTAAGACCATCGGAAAACACATATATAATTACATATTGTTTTTGTGATTAATCACTATGCTTTAATTATGTTCAATTTGTAACAATGAAAATACATCCTGCATATCAGATATTTACATTACTATTCATAACAGTAGCAAAATTACAGTTATGAAGTAGCAACGAAAATAATTTTATGGCTGGGGGTCACCACAACGTGAAGAACTGTATTAAAGGGTCGCGGCATTAGGGAGGTTGAGAACCACTGCTTTACAGGGAGGAGGACTGGCCCCTTCCTCCAACAGAGAGCACAGTCAGTCTCCTCTTGAGTGACTGGACTTTCATTATTAACAAATTTATAATTATTACTGAAGAGCTTTATCATAAATCCTTCATTTTAGTTGCACCTATCTATTATATCTTAGCAACTTTGAGATTTTAAAGGCAATTATTATGTAAAGCATTTTCTTGACCAATTTTGTAAGAGGGATAACTCAGTATGAAAGTACCATTTTATTTTTCTCTATAAGAACAGGAGTGCCCCACTTCACAGCTAGAGGGTACTTCTACAGATCTGTTCCTCCCAGGGTTATGGGGAAAACAGAACACTGGGGACTAGTTATGGTTATGAGAAACATTAATTATGCTGTTAACCATGATTGCCCTTTCTGTTCAAAGAAAGGACATGCCAACCTGGCTGGGAGTCCCACACCCCCAGGACCTGGGAGTCACCCTTGGAATGTGGTCCATTCTCATTCAAGACCTGCCCATTATCATGGAAGCATTAACCTTGTTGCCCAACCCAGCCTGCATAGCTTACTTTCCCATATCCATAAACCAGGGAAGGGCAAACTAAAATCCCTAAAAGATAGAAAGCCAACATTACATTATAGACACACAGACAGAAATATCACTAGCTAAGAGTTTCTGGTGGCTAACACCCTGAGAGGGAGAGCAGGAAGTGTCCCCAAGATTAAGGGTTCTTGGCAGCTGCTGGGACATCCCTGCAGTCTCTGTCACGTGTTCAGCCTCACCACACATAACTGGGCTTCCCCAAAGTGGGACTCACCCCATTTTTAAACAAATTAAACAAATAACAAAGAGACATGAAACATCAACAACACTCTTATACAGGTGCACAATACACTAAAAGTTTATACCACAGAATTTCCTACATTAAGAACCACTAAAGCCAAGCAATGTCTCTGTCCCTGGTTCGGGAACTTGCCTCCCAGAACCTCAGCATTCTCCCAATGGACTATTTCAGGGGAATATATTCCCTAAGCCTAGAATTTCTGCTTCCCATCCTCGGCAGGTCCCTTGTGACTATGTACTCAACCCCCCATGTTGGAGGTTTCTCGTACTCCCCGAGATCTGCTTCATCCCTCTCTGGCCGCTTCCCTCACAGGAGAACAGAACCGCAGATCAGAACTCTGCACTCGCTTTATGTCCAAGACACATCCCAGCCACATATGCCCGACCTCCAGGGACACCCAATCACCAAAGTAGTACTCAGTCCATTTCCCACCTTGGCCCATGCGTGAGGTCACCTGATTGCACAGGTCTTGCTTGGGCCCTTCCTGCGTTGCTGGCTGACTCTCAATCCTGAGCTCATAGTCGGCCCAGGGGTGATGGCTATCCTGCCTCACCAAAAGAGGGGGTCCAATTTCCCTGTGATGACAAACGCTGTCCCGGATGCACCCCCAAATTGTAAGAAATAAGGCAAGCCCCCCAATCCAGGGGTCCTGGTGGAACACAAAATATACTGGGGAGCCAGGCAGCAGGCAAACATCTTTCCTCCTGCAGGGGGGCACGCACAAGGTCTGGGAGCACATGCACACTGAGCAGGCGGTCTGCTCGGCTTTTTAATCCTGATGCACGTGACCTGTCCTCACTCTTGATGGAGCTCAGGCGCACAGTCTTTCCCGATTGGCTAATTCAAAGGGAGGGGCTGCCTTTGCCGTTCAAGAGGGCGGCCCCCAGGGGCAGCTGAGACTGCACACTCACCCGGGCACCAGGGCGGGAAAGGCAGCAATGGGCGGGGAGGGAAAGGACCTCTGTGAACTGGCTGCTGCATGGTGCCCTCCTGACCCCTCGGGAGCAGAGACCCCGGTGGGGGTCGTCTCAGGCCCAAATTCACAGCCAGCAACGGGCAGAGCCAACATCTCAAAGCCACAGCCAGGGCACCCTCCTGCCCATGGGCTGTGGTAGACTCGGCACCTGCAACCCTCCTCCTACTCCGTCCTCTGCGCTGCCCTTCCCCAGCTTCCCTTCCGCTATTTGTAGGAAATGAGAGTTTCTGAAGGGGCAGTGGGACCAATCCCTGCCCTCCACCCTCACCCCGACAGCCTGGACCAGCCCGACAGCCACACGCTCTGCCCCCCTCCACCCAGCCCACCTGTACCCCC